TGTGTTTTTTTTTACTTTAAACCGCATAAACACATTTCATTACACCAAATACACAAAATAATGTTCTTTTTAGCAACATCATATGACCCCTTTAATGATGAGATCACCAAAATCAATATTTATTTTACTTGATTCATGATCACTATTTCCAATAGAAAATAGATCCCGAAATTGCGTATAATCATTTCCAGTAGAAAATTTGCATATTTGCATATTCATAGGCCTATCAATCTCGACAAAGCTTAGAATTCAAAGAAAAAAAGAATTCCGAGATGCAAACAGAATTGAGGGAAGAAAAGTTTGAATTCTGAGATTATATCTTGCAATTGTAACTTTTTTTCTCAGAATTTTATATCTCAAAAGAGAGAAATTCACAATTACCTTTTTTATTTTCTTATTCGGTGGCAGAAACAGACTTCCATAACAAACCTGTAAACAAAACAAGGAATAACATCAGTTAGACTGCATAAATCACATAGTTCCATCCTTTTTTTTCTTCAGGAGATCGTGTGGTGCAGCCTCAGATACTGGAGGTGAATTTTAGCCCAGACTTTGAGCGGGCCTGTCGTTATCTTCCCAAGTTTTACGACCACATGTTCCAAACACTGTTCCTGGATCAGACAACAGTGTCCTGTCACTCAGATTTTTTTCTAATAAGCTGTGATGAATCGCTTACGGTGTGGTGGCTTCTGCCACTTCGGTGAGAAATCACTCTCGAAGTCTTGAGGTTTTGATGCCAGAAGATAGTTTATTATCAGAGACAATGAAGCTGAGAACCCCTGTAGAGAATCTCCCGAGGCTGTGTCTGCACACTCTTTTATAGTTTTTCCTCAAGCCGTGTTCAACACATTACACACACACACACACACACACACACACAGTCTTTCTACCCCCATACACTACACATTTTACTCTCCTGCAGTCCTCCATACACACAGGAAACGTAAGTTCATTGTTAATAAAGAATAACAATTTGGTCCCTTTGTAAATTCTCTTTGCCACCGTGACCTTTTCTCAGTCTCCTTAAAGTGTAAATACGGCCGGGAAGTAAGAAAACACACAGTCAAATGTATCCTCAATACTTCAATTTATTCATAGAAATACAGATATTATATAGGCATATGTCGAGGGGAGTTTCATCCTCTTAACCAATGAGGATATGAATAACATACACGTAGGATCTTTGGCCAAGAACATGTGTTTATATAAAATAGCCACATGTACATAAAAACATGGACATATTAGGAATAGACTTTTGCGAAGAATGCTGAACTGTCTTCATGGTTTCATCACGAACTCCTTTACCCTTGTAGTCATAACATTCATGTCTTTATTGGGGACAGAAAAACAAGAGAAGCTAATGTATACATTTAAGCATGCATACTTCGCATATAAGTAAGACATATTTAAAACATAATATCAGGAGAGAGAGATGGATATAGAAGGAGGAATTCAGAAAGAATGCGTTGTATATATAAGAATGAGAGAGGGAGAAAAAGGAGGGGTAAGACCTGTCTGGACTCAACAGAAAGACAGAGAGTGTTTTCTAACATTCATAATAGTAGAATAACTTGATTACACACATTACACTCTCCTGCAGGCCTCCTTACATACAGGAAACACACAATCATAATAGTAGATTACACTCATGTCTATATTCACATTGATTTTGATTTTTTTTTTTAAATTCTACAACTATTTTAATGAAGGATGTGTGAATTTTACTTTTTTATTTTAGTGGCTGATGTGAGGAGATCCAGGCTCATAACAATTACAGAAGATAACATATATGATAACATATGATATAATACCAATAATATTTTGCTAAAATTGTAGCACTCTAAGAGATAACAAAGTCATCTAAATATCTGAGCATAATAATCCTCATAGAAAGAGACCTTTGCGGCATGTGCTGAGAGAGCAAGAAGAATAAAGGGAGCTCAGAAGCCAGTTATATATCAGGAGAACATGCATCTTTTTACAACATCACCAGATGTGTATGTCTGTTAAATGAATGTCAAGTGAACTTATCCATTGTGTCTAAATTGTGCCATACATTTCTCCACTGGGTCAGGGTCAGGACTAGGTCACGAAGGCACGACCCAAACAATAGGTAAAGTCAGATAAAAATAGCATTATGAGTTGTCGTTTTGACACCTTTCAAGCAGAAACAGCATTCCCTTTCAGTCGGTCACTCTCGACGTCACGTCGGATGACTGACGAATTGAGATCCCAATTCGTCGGTTATCCGATGTGACGTCTCCGTTCCCTCCTTCAGGGAACAAGGGCTACCATACGTAACCAAGACGTTCCCTTTCAGTCGGTCACTCTCGATGTGACGTCTCCGTTCCCTCCTTCAGGGAACAAGGGTTACCATACGTAACCAAGACGTTCCCTTTCAGTCGGTCACTCTCGATGTGACGTCTCCGTTCCCTCCTTCAGGGAACAAGGGCTACCATACGTAACCAAGACGTTCCCTTTCAGTCGGTCACTCTCGATGTGACGTCTCCGTTCCCTCCTTCAGGGAACGAGGGTTACCATACGTAACCGAGACGATATCAAATATCACCTTGCAAATGCCAGCTTTTGGAAAGAATATTATTGTGTACGGAATATGAATAAAAAAATAAAATGAGGAATAAATGAGTTATAATGAATGTATAAGTAACATAAGACATTAATATGAATGATTAAGAGTAACAATAAAAAGAAACATAAAGAATAGCTCATAATTAATAATAATAATAATAATAACAACAATATATAATAACAATAATAATGTATAAATTAATATGAAAAAATAAAAGTATAAACACTGTAAATTTGCATACACCAGAGAGGAAGATATATCCTTAAAAAACAACTCCTTTTAAGACAGTATTGTGTAAATTTAGGCTAACCTGGCATATTTCGCGTATACTTATTTTATTATGGTAACTGAATATAAATAAAGTAAATGGTAACTCGTAATAAGTTCAGCGAGTTCGCCCCAGCTTGGGACGGCTCAGGAGGAGAGGAATCTAACAGCATTTAAATGTAAAAAAAAAAGTATAAAATGTATTAGAAATTAAAATTCACGAAACGATTTAAATGTATTTTTCATAACGCGTTGCATTGTACCGATTCACTGAAAATAATCGAATCACGTGAATGATTCGTAGTCGAATCGGACACAGACGTCAAATTAAGCAGGTAACTTTAACTACATTTGCAACTGTTTTACGCTTTGCTGTTTTATGGGGGTTAAAGTAAACATTTCTCAAGTAAAGCAAAACAGAGCTAAAGTCTAAGTATAAAAACAGCATATCTGATCTACATCAACATCTAGCGGCATGTTTTTGATGTTTGCAATTGAATCGCGAATACGACTAATCACGCGCAGATCTGTGCATCGTGTAAAATGCCCGTCAATGTGGTGATAAATAATGCAGATCCTGCAAGTCATAAACACATTCAAGAGCAATTGGCAGACAAACGGGCGCCAGTACTGATGCGAATTGCCCCTATTTGTCACTTCAGATGGTTTAGGCATTGACCACCAGATCGCTAAAGAATGTAGTTCCCAGCCCCCATTCACACATAGGACATGCCTGCAGGAAAAGTGAAACAAGCATGGACAGAATAACAAAGACACTGCCATTTGTAGCTTAAAAATGCATTTGAAAATTATATAAAATGAACATCACAAAACAGAATGTATCAAATTCATTGCTGTTTTTTTTGTATTTCTTTTAAACGGTCATTAAAGAAAATGCATTTATTTTCTGCTGCAAATGCATCAATATGGTGAATTTGAAATAGGGTAATTTCTCTACACCATGTGAAATTAATGCAAATTTGCCATGTACCTATTGTAACTAGCCAATTATTTTAACCAGTATAGTTAAAACAGTTCCCGAGTGATATCCTCCAGGAGCTTCTGCAGCAGCGCAAATAGTTTTAATTATTAATCATGCACAACATTTTAGAAACACTTTAAGCAAATCTAGGACATTGTGAGGTTAGTAAAGTTCACTTTTACTCAATGTTTATGCACTCATGTTGCAAGGAGATATTACACCTCCTTAATCTGGAATATTGGGGAGATTCCAAAAAGGAGGTGGAGCACCTGCATTGAGATCTATGGCCAAGAACTGTATAAAAGTTTGCCCTTAGGGCAAGTTATTTATTTTTCTTTGGCTCAAGTTAAAAAATATAGATGTGAATCATTACCCTAATTTTTTTTAATTGGATGAATGAAACATTTTTTTTCAGTGTACAGCAAAAACAGTGAGTATGAGAAATGTATTGCATTCATGTCATGAGAACAAGAGCTGAGAGGAACTAAACTCTCGTTTCATAATAAATCACAAGAGCTCCTCAGGAAATCAGAATTGAGCTCATTGGTGCATAGTGCCCAAGAGAAAGCAGTAAATTATACGCTAAACAGTTACAGCAGACGTGTAGGACATTGTTTCATTGTTTCAAGTGTATTACATTCTGTAGATCTTAAACTGAAAACCATACTATAATGCAGAGTGTTGCATTATAAAAACTTTAGTACGAGCCGAATACATCAAAATCACACTATAGATGGTTTCAGTATGCTGATCATTTTAATAAATTGTGAATTTTATCTCAAATATTAACATATGATGTGGACATGAAAATTCACTTTATATAGCATTAATTGTTTCATAATTAGTTTATTGTCATTGCAGTATATAAACCAGCGGATCCTTTGTGATGCATTTTGCTATTGCAACAACAATAAAAACAGCATTGGTGTCCAACTTTAGATTATGGTGGGTGCATCGTCAGGTCAGATGGTGTTTGGGCTGTGATGATGTCAATGCACCTCTGCAGGATGTTGTGGGTTTCACACCCCTGTGCTTCAATGCCTGGCAGAACAAATTTCAGTTAGTTTTTTGCTAAGAAAGCGCATGTGAGAAGAGTGCGAAGCGACTCGAGTCTCATCCGCGCTCCTGAAACTATGATGGCAGGAATGGATGCGCGTTTTGCAAGTTTAATGCGTTAAAACCAAGAGTTCCCTGGATTCTCGTGTAGATTAAACCTTCGTTTTGAACAGGAGAAGTCTGGACACGGAGTCGATGTGGAGATGCATCGTAAATTGTGAGTACGGAGCTATACGGAGTTAAGAATATTAAAATTTAGCTGTGACTTAGAGAGGATGCTCAAAAGCGGAATTGTTTGTCTTTTTAATAATCCATAGTATGTGTTGTTTTTAGTGCGCTGCTCAAATTTCTCGCATCGTTCTTCATGCATTTTTATATTGCCCACCCGCTTCATTTCACTCCCTTTGCAAGTTGCAAAAAGACGTTTTAACTGGCTATTTGTTTTTATGTTAGCCTAGCTACTAGCGCATACTTGAATCACCAGTAAGTTATTCTATAGTGAATAGTTCATTTAAAGTAGTAGGTTATGTGTTTATTAGATGCAAACGGCCAGGGGCGTTCGGAACGCAGTTTTCCTGATGGGGAGCTATTTGTGGGGGCCCAGAAAACCCAGAGGCGCCCCTACAGGCAGCGCTGTCCGTCGCACGAATGAATTTAAATGTAATTACTTATTAATTAAATGAGCTGAGAAATATGCCAATGTTGTAACCATGTCTTGTGTTCCGCATTTTTAATCTGCTATTTAGATCAAACGAAACAGGATTCGCTCGTTTGAGTCGGTTCTTTTGGTCAATCTGATCATTCAGTTCAACTCACTCACGCTCCGAATTGTTTAGGAGTAGAATTGGATATTTTTAACACAGAGAAAGTAAAGAGCACCACCTACAGTTTGTTGAAACCAAACCTGCAAATACATCCTGTAAGCGATTAAAAAAGTTCGTTATTCATGTAAATCTTGTACTGCAGGTAAAGACAATACCATGTTATTTTGGACATCATGTTATGTAGTCTACTCAAGAAAGGAGTAATGGCTGCTAAAAAATCATACAGGAATAAATAAATTACATTTTAAAATATATTCAAACATATTTCGTTTTTTTTTTTAATCATCATAATAATCCCTCTTAAAATATTCGTGCTATTCGTTAGGTTTTAATAGGCTACTTTGATGTTACTTGTTAATTTAATTTTAATTTAATTTAATAACAATAATTTAATATTGAATGTCTGTGTTTGAGGGGGGTTGATTGCACCAGCTGTGTGTAATTTAATTAGCCTAGTTCCGATGTACAGGGGCACAAAGTAACAACTTATATACCAGGGGTGCCCAAACTCGGTCCTGGAGGGCCGGTGTCCTGCAGAGTTTAGCTCCAACTTGCCTCAACACACCTGCCGGGAGAGCTTGATTAGCTGGTTCAGGTGTGTTTGATTAGGGTTGGAGCTAAACTCTGCAGGACACCGGCCCTCCAGGACCGAGTTTGGACACCCCTGTTATATTCTATAGTAAATATTTTTGTTTTGTACTATTAAACTTTTTGCTGTTTATGAGTCTAAGGCTGTCATTTATTTTAAGTGATATTTAGTGACATTTATTTTAGTGATATTTTTAAGATTAGCCAGGACATTAAAAACACCAGAGCACTTTTAAATGTGATATGAAGTTCAAAGTGGAGTGACGTGAACATTAATTTTAACGTTTCATTAAATAAACCTACTGAGATTGCATACATTGACTGAAATATGTTTGTTAAAAGTGAAATGTGTAATTTAGTGTGATGCGTTGAGAGATCCAGTCAGATAAAGAAATTAATAACAAATAACAAATGAATAATAAGCTACATTTGAGTAAAATGAGAATCAAACTTTTAATAAATCAAAGATAATTATTGACTGTGGAGAGGTGATTAATTGTAATCACCATTTTATTACCAATAAGATTAATTGCAAGAAAAAAATGAGTAAAAGAAGATATAGTATCTTGCCACCAAAGCAATGAACAAAAGGACCCCTTGATACAAAGCAGAAAGTGTAGCACTCATGATAACTAAACGCTGTTTATACCCTTGTTCTAATCAGATAATATAAGTGTCATGCATCATCATGCATCTTATGACTGGGTCAATGTGACCTGCCAATGCTGCATCTTATAGATTGTTGTGGATTATATATATATATATATATATAGGTCACATAAAGTCATGTAATAACCTAGAAGTATTAGTTAAACTATTAAAGAGGTTTAGATAAAGATAAAACATTGTGAACAATTTTGGATACAACAATGTCATCATTATGCAAAAATTATGACATCCTTATTCATATCCATCTCTGCATATTACGCTAGGACACTTCATCCTTAGTAATTGATTCTGGTATTTTCTGGTTTATCACTTGTGAAGCTGTTTTGTATAAAGCACTATAGAAATAAATGTGACTTGATATGACTTAAATCAGTGTACTGATTTAACTTAATGACTTAAGCAGGGTTGAGCCTGGTTAGTACCTGGATGGGAGACCTCCTCAGTAGCTCCTCACTGCAGAACAAAGATCCAGGGGGCGTGGTTGGATCCACATCTAGGGGGTGGAGATGGTAGGCTAGGTTTAGGGGTGGAGATGGGTGGGTTTACGGATCAGGGGGCGAAGACGGGTAGGTTTAGGTATATGTAAGGTGGGAGGAGTTGGATCTGGATCCAACCTCGCCCCCTGGATCTTGTGTTCTGCAGTGAGGACCATCTTGACCTCCTGGGAAAACTAGGTTGCTGTTGGAAGAGGTGTTCGTGCGGCCAGCAAGGGGTGCTCACCCTGTGGTCTGCGTGGGTCCTAACGCCCCAGTATAGTGACGGGGATACTATACTGTCAAAAAGCACCGTCTTTCAGATGAGACGTTAAACCGAGGTCTTGACACTCTGTGGTCATTAAAAATCCCATGGCACTTCTTGTAAAGAGTAGGGGTGTAACCCTGGTTTCCTGGCCAAATTGCCGCCCTGGCCCTTGTCTATCATGGCCTCCTAATAATCCCTAACCACTTGATTGGCTCTATGACTCTCTCTCCTCTCCACCTGTAGCAGTTGTGTGGTGAGCGCACTGGCGCCGTTGTCCTGTGGCTGCCGTCGCATCATCCAAGTGGATGCTGCACACTGGTGGTGGTTGAGGAGAGACCCCTCCCCCTCCACATGATTGTTAATCGCTTTGGGTGTACAACAATACACAATAAAGCGCTATATAAATGCATCATTCATTCATTCATCAGTGGTTTTCAAACTTTTTACAGTAGCATACCCTCTGGTGCATTAAAAACATTTCTGAGTACCCCCACTTAGACCGCAGTCTCATCTTTTCCATTAAGGGACCATATTTGCCCCCTTAAATTGATTTACATGTGCATTTTTTACTTTTAGGGAGGCAAAGTTTTTTCTAGCCTAATTAATTGTATATCATGTTTTATGTAATATTCTTAACATGCCATTAAGTGTATTATTAATATAATAAATAAAGCAATAAATGGTGGCAAAACAAAGTGATACTTTAAGGTTTAAAACTAAAATCGCCAGTAGGTGGCTGCAAGTCACTGTCTTATGGTACATTCACACAGGGCGTCGGCATCGACGCTTGATGGAGGGCGTTTCTGAAGCTTGGTGCTGACGCGACCGTCATAGTGACAACAGCCAATCACATTTGTTTTCTGGTGTTGCATGATCGCGATTGGCTAGCGTCTGAACCAGGGTATTTGCATAAGGTGATCTGATTGGCTGACGCCTGCGTTGACGCTTGAAAAGTTGAAAAGTTTTCAACTTCTGCCGTGAGCAACGAACCCATCGCGACGCAACGGACCCACAATTCAGTTCGGCAATGCTTGATGTCACTCCATTGAAAGTAAATGAGGCGTTGACGTCGACGCCCCGTGTGAATGGGGCATTAATGAGCAAAGCGTCGCGTCATTCATTCATTCAGTAACGAAGCAAATGGCTGTAGTTGTGAATGGGTTATTTATGACTCTCCAAATCGTTCAAAACTGCAGATTCTTTCATTAACGAAACACCGCTGTTGCTTGGAGACGCACACGGTTCAGTCGTGGATTCGTTGGACTATTATTATTTCGTTGTAAAATATAACAAACAATAATTGACAATATTGTGTTTAAAATGAAGGCTAGATTTAAAATGTAAAATATTCACTTAATATTACCTTTTTTGTTGAAATGTCATGTATAATAAATGTCACAGTTGCAATCATTTGGATATTCAGGGAAAATTGCATTCTTGCTCATATTTTAAACATGAAAAACAACTCGCACAGGGTATTTCTGTATTGAAGAGTTTCTTAAATCGATCTCTGTGTACAGTCCATGTCAATATTTGTTCTTCATGCATATTGTAAGTGCTACAAATCTACTTTGAAGATACAATGAACAGCAGCGCGATTTGCTAAAGCATCATAATCTGAGGGCATCCATACGCACGCTGCTTGTGTGGATGCAGTCAGTTTTGACCGCAAAAGATGAGGTAATTTGATGTAATTTAACCGTTTGCAGCACTGCCATTTTCCTGTTTTTATACTAGAAGCGGCATTTTGCTTGTCAGAAATACATGCTCGGTTTTAATGTTACTTAAGTTGGGGTAGAATTAAATGAATGCCAAAGCTCAGCATTTTGTTTGCGTACTCCCTCTGTCACCTCATGTACCCCAGTTTGAGAACCACTGACTTAAATGTTCTTTCTTAGATTTTCGAGTGTTATATGACCTAATTTCTGTATTTATTTATTTTTAGAACTCTTATTGAATAACTCCACATAAGAGCAACGGCAGCAGCCACTGAGGAGCCTTTACCATGCAGGGATACACATGGAGTTCAAATCAGCATCCTTCGCAAAGGTACCAAGATCGGCCTCCACCACGATACCAAGAACGACTTCCACCTCATTACCAAGAACGGTCTCCACCTCAGTACCAAGAACGACTTCCACCTCAGTACCAAGAACACTTCCCACCCAATTACCATGCTGTCAGAAATGATCAACCCAGTGCATTCCAGGTACAGCTCATCCCGCAAATGCAAACCACATTACAGACAAGATATTCCAATGGTCAACAAGAGGCTGCAAATCAGTGGAACGCTTGCTCAGGCAGTGCGGACTCTTCTACTTTTCAACCAAACTCAAATGGATATGATTGGTTGAAACAGACAAACCAGATCCATCCCCAGCACCGATATACAGCCAACCACACACAGCAGCACTACCCACCTGACAACCCCAACGCATATAGGCATCATCCCCAATTCGTGCAATGGCATGATTCCTCCCCACAGAACTACAGAAACACAGGCTATAGTCAAGCTCCAATGTATTGGTCTCCACAGTCAGACCATGGCAGCTCTGTGGGTAACAGCAGGGGTTGGAGTTCCCACATTTCCAACAATGGCAGCTCTTGTTCCATGAAAAATCAGCAACAATTTCAAGCCCCTAAAATGGCTGCTCATCATCACCATCAACAACAACAACAAGAAGAGCTCTCTAGACAATATTCAGGCAAAACACGAAGATGCCACACACAATACTCTTCTCAGGCCTCCCAAAAAATTCCTAACAATCAAGCTCAGAGCAGAATTGAGGCCAATCGTACCTCGTGCAACTCTACGACACCACCTTCTGGAGCACAGAGCAATGTTTCATTGCCTTCCAATAATTTAAACCAAAGTCCTGTTGACCAGAATCGGCCAGAACTTGGGTCAAATGCAGGTCCAGATGTATCGGCGACCCAGCCTCAGAATAATCAAGATGCTGGACATCAGTCTCAGGGCACAAACAATGGGACATGCAATGTTAATCAGACCTCTCAAACGATGCAGACCAGTAAAGCCCAGCTTCAGTCCCACTCTAAAACTGATTTTAACATGTCATCTTATGCTGACTCAATAATATATAGATTACTGTGTTCAAATGATAATGAACAATCAGATGAAAGAACTGCACATCAGAACACTCGTCCAGAACCGTCTGAGATTTGTGCAACCAGAAGGACTGACAATCACTCAAAGGAACCAAGAGCACAGTGTACAGTTGAACCGCCCAGCAAAAGAATGAAGTATGCTGTGATTCAGAGAGACTGTTGGAACAAAGTAACAATAGTGTCCAAAGACAAAATTGATTTTGGGGTGCAATATGCCCAAACTGGTACCCATCAGACAAGTAATGATGAGAACAGACGTAAAGGAACGAGCCAACACAACATACAGTACAGTACGGACCCAGCAGACTGTCTTGAAGTGGTGTTTGCACTACAGAAAGCTGCTCAGCAAATTCACAAGGCCATAGCCATCGTTCCACCCATTTCCCAACAGATCATAAACGCTACACCGACAGCTGATACCAGCCCCAAAAAAGCTGAAAGTCCACCGTTAAAGATTGATTGCGTTTGGTCACTTGTTGAAGAGTCTAATGAACAAAAAACTGTAAATGACAAGCTGTCTGAATCCTCCTCACAAATGGCTGAACAGGACAACAAAAGCCTTGAAAACATGACTGAAAGCAACATCGCAAACCCCGATGCATGCTCTGCTAGCCGGGTTGAATGTCAAAATGATGTGCAGCAAAGTGACTGTGATTCAAGTGATCCTTCATTTGACTTGTCCAGTGTGCCAGTGATTGACCACACACTGGAGAAACTGATGGACTTAGCAAAGTCTTTAGAGATGACAGAGTTATCGGCCGGATATCCTGAGTATTCTGAGAGCGTTTTAGAAAGGATCGTGAAACTCTACTGGAATGGGAAAGCTTCCAATATGTTGGAGCCTTTGAAATCATTTGGCGAGGTGCTGCACTTATCCATATTATATGCAAAGGATTACGGGTCTGTGGTATTTAAAGGCATCGAAACTGAAAACCTGAAGAAGCTAGCTCATTGCGACATTCTCAAAAAAGAGATGTATTCATCGTCAGAGGAGTTCAGGTCTTCTTGGTTAAATGTCGATGGCCAGCCAGCTGATATTGAAAAGGTGCTTTCAGAGCCACAGTTGGATGATGCAACTGTGTTCAAGGCAACACCACAGACTTTTTCAGATAACACTGTTGTCGCTTCAGCCAGTTTAGGTGTGAATTCCCTCACAGACATGCCTGAGGTTTCATCCGAGGAGAAAAGTGTGAATCCACACACGAGCAGTCCAACAGATCTTTTCATACAAAAGGCAGGAAATTACAGTGAGGAAGTGACTGCGGAAAACCATGGGCTTTCATATGTAGTGCTCAGAAAAGAAAGTGAGAAAGAGACATTCAAGAAACAAGAGGACATCAATCAAAACCAAAATTTTAATACAGAACCCTCAGACATCTCACCTTTAGCTGAAAGGTCTACAGAGAAACCTGCAGACCTCGGCAATGCAAAAGAAGTATTCAGACAAGATCACGAACAAACACGTGATAATGTATCAGATTCACCGTCTCTGAGCCTTGGAGACAGTGTTTCAGATGGTGTTAAAAACTCTGAGGTGTCTTTCTCTACAGAGACTCGTTGTACCTCCATGGATACATGGCAGGTGGAAGATGTTTCTGATGATAAAAATCCAGTCAGTAAAGAAGCTCTGAATAACTCCTCAGAAACCTGGCTGGTAGAAGAAATTTCTGATGATGAAAATCCAGGCGATAAGGAGGCTCTTAAGAACACCTCAGACACCTGGCTGGTAGATGATATTTCTGATGATGAAAATTCTGGAAATAATGAGGTTCTTCTTAATTCCTCAAACATCTGGCAGGTGGGAGACATCTCTGATAATGAGAATCCAGGCAACATGGACACTCCAAGCAACTCCTCAGACATATGTGCGGGGGAAGATGTTTCTGCTGATGAAAATTCAAGCGATGATTCCTTGTTTATGGGAATCACGATGCTATCATCAGAAGATGCTAAAACATTTTTCCAACAGTTCGAAAAGGAACCTGAATGTAACATCAAAACCAAATCTCAATCCAACTTTGAGCACCTAGATCTTGTAGCGTGCTTTGATGCTCACAGTCAGCCTAACCATAAGCACATCAAAGCATATACTTGCTTTCGCTGTGATGCAGAAAATGCAAAATCAAGTTCCACTAATGGGACAAAGACAGACAGTGATGCTGATCTTTTTTGCCCAGAGTGTTGGGAACAGGCACCACTTTTTGAGCTAGAAGAGGAGCCATATGCTGCTAAACCCAAAAAATTGGGTCAAAATTATAGTCTGCCCTGTCTTAAGTTGGAAGTTAATGAGCCAAATTTGGCTTCAACAAAGGAATGCATTGTGTATGAAGGACTGAAAGGACAAAAAAGTGATTGTCTGGTAAAATCTAAATCGGAAGAAAATTGTAGTCCACCATCCCTTAAAACAGAAGTCAAGGAGTCAACTGTTGCATTAAATGATGAATGCATTGCGTATGAGGGACTGGCAGGACAAAAGAGTGCCTTTTTGGTACAATCAGAACAGGGACAGAATTGTAGTCCGCCACCTGTTGAACTAAAAGACAAGAAGACAAATGTTGCTCTACCGGAGACATGCATTGCAGAAGAAGGACTGGCAGGACAAAAAAGAGACTGTATGGTAAAATCAGAACTGGTAGAAAACTGTAGTCAACCATCTCATAAACTAGAGCCAACTGTTGCTTCAACCAAACAATGCATTGCAGGACAAGGACAAAAAAGTGACAGTATGATACAATCAGAACTGAGACAAAATTGTAGTCCGCCATCTTTTGAACTGCAAGTCGAGATGCCAAAAGTTTCTTCTCCAGAAGAATGCATTGCAGATGAAGGACTGAGAAGCCCAAAGAGAAACAGTATGGCAAAATCAGAAATGGGACAAAATCGTAGTTCACCATCTCTTGAACTGAAAGTCAAGGAGCCAGATTTTGTTTTACCAAAGACATGCATTGCAGATGAAGGACAGATAGTTAAAAAAAGTGGCTGTATGGGAGAATCAGAACTAGGACAAAATCGTAGCCCACAATGTCTTAAACTAGAAGTCAAGGAGCCAACTGTTGCTTCAGCAGAGGACTGCATTGCAGATAAAGGACTGACAGGACCAAAAAGTGACAGTATGGTAAAATCCGTGACTAAGACAGTGTCTGAAATTCAGGGGTCAGCTGAGAGGGAGATAACCAAGATTCAACCGAATAAGCAGAAAAATGAAAAAACTAAGAAAATTAGAGTACCCAAGTCCCAATCTCTCAAGCAATGCAGAAAACCATTTCCAAAGAAAACTGCGTTTTCCAAGCATAAGCTAAAATCTGGTAACATTAGTACTGGTTCTGATGATTCTGTGCTTTTCGCTCCAGATATTGTGGTTAAAATAAACTGGCCACAAAAGAAAAAACTACCTTGTGCAAACAAACGCCGTAGTGGCGAGAGTCAGAACTGCAGTAAGGTGAAAAAATTCAAAGAACACAGACAAGAAAGACAAGATAATCCTGACAGAACCTCAACGATCCATAGAGAAAACCTACAGAAAGTGACAGAGAAAGTGTCTGATCAATCAAATGACACACCATCCCAGGAGTCAGAAAATAAACCGGAGCTGCATGGTATTCTGTCAGTGAATAAAATAAAAAGAACCGAGCCAAAGAAAGTGAGATTTGACTTATATGGGTCCAAAACAGAAAAACAGTACTATGCCCCAGAATGGTGTTTTTCAGCTCCTGCTACATTAACGGTCTCTGATTGCAAAGACAATACCGATATGCTTTCTGCTAAACAAAAAGTTCTCAACCAGTGGAGTAGCACCTTTATACCTAAAACAAAGAAGACTTGTCATCCCAGGTCACCACAGGAAAAAAAACCACAGAAACCTCAGGACCTCTTAAAGTCAAATATGAGTGCATTAAAAAGCCATTTGACTCACAGAGCCAAGCTATTATCTAGTAGTGACAGAGAGAGTCACTTTAGAAAACACATTTTTCATCAAAAGCTTAGGAAAACACTAAGCGGCTAACCTGTGTCGAAGTTGCTTAATTGTTGCTTTTATTGTTTACTTAAATATGTTTACACATAATAGCTGTAGCTGTAATGTGTGATGACAGATTTCTGTTGATGACTGAAAACATCATGAATGTTTTTTTTTATTATTATTATTATTATTATTGAGAGCTAAATAAAGAAAGTTTATTTTTCTAAGGCATTATTGTTTGTAATATGCTACAATGTATGTGACTGAATCATGTCTTTGATTGCAGTCATTTTGCAATGTTACTTTGTAAGTATAGTTTTAATATTTTTTGTTACTATTTACAGTACTTCTAATGTTGTTGCATTACTATTATTATTATTTTTTTTTTACTATTTGAAGTACTTCTGAATGTTGTTGCATAATGTGAAATATAAATATATATATATATATTGTATTGTATATATATTGTATTTACAAATACATGACTGGAAAGTTTACTGGAAAGGCTGTTGTGTCACTTAATACATTTTGTAAACCACTTGTGTTTGTGTTTCAAGCTTCTTTGGTTCTACTGCAGAAACATTCATGTCTTAAAACATTTACCACAAGTTCAAGTCACTCTTACTTTAATCACTTTATCATACAATTATGATGTGTAAGATTATTCATTTAATAATTCATTTAATTTGTTTTAAATTTACAGTACAGATTGGTGTTGAAAAATTATGCAGCAAATGTGGTTTCATATAGTGGTGTAATTTGAAATACAAAAAAGATCAATAGAAAAACAGCTATTTTGAATTGAATTAATATTTCACACTTATTATTTATTTAATCTGTTAAGGTATTCTTATTAAAGACTTGATCGGAAAATCTCCGGATGTAAGTCAGTTAACGATAATTAAAATTCATTTGAAAGGATTCTACTTTTTTGAACTCCGTATGCCTCTTGGTGGAAGACAATTTGGTTCGCTGCTCAATGATTCAACTATGATGATGTATGAAAAGACATCTTTCTCCTTTTCAATGAAAAATTAGGTTTCAAAGCATAATATTATACGACCTTACAAGACATGGTCATGCCTGTCCAGTTCACAGGTGTTTTTAATTGGTCTCATACATGTTTAGACCTCATTCACATTTCATAGAGAAAGCACAACTTATCCTGAAGCTGTTTTATTCCTTCCTGGTGGTTTTTCTTAAAGCATTGCAGGTAACCAGAGACTTTTACATTTATACAATATTTAGGGGCTATATCATCCAGGACTATTAGGAGGCTAAATAATAACAATGAGGTGATAAAGTGGCCGGTAGAGAGTCAGTTTCTTCCTTATTCACTATAGTGCAATTAATCACTTCTTACTGCATAATTATGCACTGACCCCAAATGCAGTTATTATGTAGGCTACTTATTTTAACACCTCGGATTTGCTTTCAGTACACCATAATTCAGTAAACCGACCGGAGAAATATTTTCATGTCAAATGAGTCCCGTCTGATTATACCGTTCTTCAACTTTATTGTCTCATACAATAGTATATGTAGACATATTGAGGGGTGGTGTACCCCTTTCATCCAATAAGAGTATGCATTGCATATGTGCATTATATAAGACAGTAATATGTGTTATATAAAATGTGAATACAGACATATTAAGAGAAGAGTTTCTTCCCAGATGCATCCTGAACTCCTGCGGAGAGACTAGGCCTATAGCTACATATATGCACATGCGTATAAAATATATGAAGAGGGAGAGAGGAAGGGAAACAAAAGGAGGAAGAAGAGGGAACACCCAAAATGTTTAGCAGAGCATTCAAAATCACAACTATCCGGTTTGTTGATGAATCAATCTTTTGAGTCGATTCTTTTCTACGATTTTGTTCATTTGGAGCGGTTTCAGTACCACCATGGTATACATCAAACTATACTATTACTATACAATAGTACGATCACAGTAGACTACATTTTAATAGGATACTTTTACGGTACACACATTGAAACACATATACACATTGAATAAGTACAGACAATAAAAATGGGGAATAAAAAAGTAAAGCTGTAAAGAGACTAAAGAAGTGTTTACTTTCCTTCATTAAAGAGAGTCTATGAACCAAGAGTAATACATATAAGAACATTAACATTACCAAACATTATGCAGTTAATCAAGCATAAAGTAATTAGCCTAATAATAAAACCTAAATGTAATTTAGCGTAACACTTTATTGTAAGGTGTCCTTGTTACACATGTTACTTGTACTTACTATTATAATAACAATAAATGATGCATAATTACATGGGAGTAAGCCTAAACCTAATCCTAACCCTAACCATAAGTAGGCTACATGTAGTTAATTAATATTAGTCAGTACTTAAATGTATAATTACACTGAAACAAGGACACCTTAAAGTAAAGTGTAACCTAATTTAATAATTAACTTCTTAGAATGGCTTGTGACAGAAAATTGAATCGTTAAGCACATTTGTTTTTAACAATTAACCGTGAGCCTAAAAGCACACAGACCAATTTTAGATTGACTATAAAATGTTATAGTAATACTTGTTTTCTGTTTCAGGTATGCACTTCACTTTATAGTTTGCAGCTACTGTAGTGTTGTCTTGTCAGACTAAAGAAAAAGCATACAGTAACAGCCGCCAATACAACAGCGGCCCGCAGCGGCTTAAAGGTAAATGAGCACAAATACATCACATCAGTCACCACCACATCTCAGGTGTTCTCAACAAGTTGTTATTCTCAGTAGATGAACTGCTTTAATAGGTTTCGTTAATGAGAGAGATGGAGACAGTTTGTCAGTCTGTGTGTTAGTGGTTGGTGGTTTTCAGCGGCTGTTTCCACAGATTTGATTGATTCGCCAATAGGCCTGCCAGAGTTGATAATTCGTTCATAAGAATTCTGATTGGTTCAAAAACACGAATTAATTCAGTTTTCAACCTGACTTTTAATCCAAATCCAATCAGTTCAAATAAGCATGGTTATTTCTGTTTTTTTCTTAACATTATCTTCGTCATTCATAGTACTAAGTACTTGCCTGTAGCTGTTGTACCAGACATAAAACCAGCTGCTATAACAGATGGGCAGTAGGTGCACTTCGTGTTTTAAAGAGAACCAACCTCAACCTGAGGTTAAATAACCACTTGAAGTGAACCACTTATTAATTCTAAATAAATCAATTGTGTTTTCACAAAAATTATTCAGGCAAAAAGAGCTTTATTGGCCAATATGCTCACTTCGTGTTTTAAAGAGAACCAACCTCAACCTGAGGTTAAATAACCACTTGAAGTGAACCACTTATTAATTCTAAATAAATCAATTGTGTTTCACAAAAATTATTCAGGCAAAAAGAGCTTTATTGGCCAATATGCTCACACACAAAGATTTTTTTTTGGTTCACATCTATAAAATCTATATTAGTGGTGTTGATTATGATTCATTTTACTTGAATCTTTTTCTTCTGTTCACTTTTGTTCAGAGTCATAAATGAGTCATGGTTGAGGAGATTCCGCCCTTCCATGTAAATACAAAGCACTCTGTGTAGCCAGAAAAGCACAATATAAATGTAACACACATCATGTCACAGGGTGCCGTACAGTGAATGTCTTTTTGAGAGTTGAATCATTAAATGTACATCAAAAGCAGAATGACAGAAACCACATGAAGTGAAATTTGCAGATTTGCTTGAACATAAATATATTTAATTTACATAATGTACATTTTATGCATCCCAGTGATGTTGATCATCTCAATGAAGCATCCAAGAACCTGAAATCAAATAAAACGATCAGTCAATTTTTCAGTTTAATTCAACAGTGAAGACAAAATTAAACATAATAAAAAAAATTTTTTGTGGTGCTTGGTTTTGGATATTTCCCAGCATGCACTGCAACATGAATAAAACATGCAAATTAGTGACTCTTTTTATGGTTTATTGCATTATTTGCAATTTTTTAATTATTTTTTTTATTTGTTGGGTTACATGTCATTTGATGACATTTTAGAATGCATTTTATACCCTTAATGATGTACTTCTGAGTGTCACCATCACTGTGGTTTGCAGTCAGGATCATCTATCCAGCACATATGAACTGAATCTTGATTCTTTAATAATGAGTCTTGAATCTTTTATTTCACATTTAAATTTCAACTTAGAAACATTATAGAGCTGTGAGACATATGGAATTTAGTTGAGTATGTCTTCAGTGCTGTGCTGAGTGCAAACTGATTTTAATTTTTTGTGGATGATCTTAGATTTAGAAATGTCAAAACATCAGTAAGGATGTTATTATTATTATCAAATATTGGCATTAGTCAAATTTGAAAATCTGCTTTAGTGAGCAACTGGTTGCTCAGCCTTATTAAACATGACCTTTTTAGCTAAGATAAAATTTTATCGAACAAATTTAATAATAATAAAAAATTCTAAAGACACTGTGTTGATTGTAGGCTTTCTTTAAAACAAACTCTATGACACAAAAGATAACTGTTTGCCTTTCAACCTGAAAATCTTGGTTTAAATTTTCACATTAAATCATATGGTTACATTTTTACTATCATACTAAAAAAAATCACCTCACCACTGTGTGCCCCTGTGGCAAGTTTTTTTTGCCTTTCATTCATGAAAGTCTTGGTTTGAACCCCACAATGATTGTTAGTTTTATATCTTATAATACAAGGCTGTCATTAACATACCATCTAAAACACCTGCTAACTCTCCAGGCTCAGGTGGTGAAGTATTGCATTTTAATTATGGAGACCTGAGTTCAAATCCCACTATTGCTTATGTTACGTTATTGTTCAAGCCTTTGTTTATTTTTTAAATTCTCATTTTAAAGACACCGTGTTGTTTGTAGGCTTGGCACATCATGACTTTTGTGGTGCAGAGAATTATTGTTTGCCTTTGAATTTGAAAGCCTGGGTTCAAATCCCACAATGTTATTTATATAGTTATTTGATATAATAATGCATTGTCAGGACTTCCATCAAAGTATTGTCAGAAACCATACTTTGCAAGGGATAATTGTTTGACTTTCAACATCCTAACCTTCTGAGCCACTGTAGCCTAGTGGTAAGTCATTTACTTTTGATGCGTGAAAGCCTGGGATCAAATCCCAAGGTGTGTGGATGCTTTTTCTTATAAAACTGAGCTCTCAATATACACTTTCTGAAACCC